CCCCAAAACCCCAAAACCCCAAAACCCCAAAACCCCACCTCTTCTAAAAAATATTGAAAATCCTAAAAACATTATACCCAAGGTAAATTTTAGTATAACTTATGAAGACCCCACAGAGGAAAATTAGGAAACATTATTTGAATAAATTACAACAATTATCTTTAGGAGTCTTAGCCCTGGTTTTCTCCTCCTTTGGGTCTGGAAGAGAGGGGGGCTGGTATTGTGGATTTTTTATGATTTCTTTTAAGGGTAGCTTAAAACTTGTGCTATTTAGAACTCGCAATCCTGAAGAGGTTCCAAAAGTTCTTCTCAATCTCAACTGATATTTTTTGGTCTTCCATTGTGATATCGCCCCCCTTGTATCACTGTTCCCTTGCATTTTTGAAAGAATCGAACAATTTGCTTACTTGCTTTGTGTATTTATTATACCGCCTTTCTTTTTCTTTCTGGATCCTTTTGTTCTCTCTTATTTCCATTTCCTTCTGGACTTTTCTGGCTGAATCTTCTTGTGATAAGATGTTGTGTAAGTATTTCCCCCATAATGATTCGAATTCGTTAGTGAATTCTTGGATAAACACCTTACTGCTTGATACCATCACGTTTTCGTGGTTCTGTTTTACACCTCTGGCAGTCCAGTTGAGAGAACCATTTATGAGGATCAAATCGTCCACAATAGCGAACTTGTGATGCATTTTAGCAGAGTTAGAGAGATTATGATGGGTTCACTCAACGCCTAGTGCTCATAATTCATGGATATAGAGAGTGCTAAGCGACTCTTTATCCATAATGACTTGAACCCTGATTCCTCTCTTCTTTGCTTCTATTAAGCAGTTCATGAGCTCTCTTTTAGTAAATGTGTACATTCACACTTTGATGCTTTCTTGTGCCATGCTGAGGTAATGGAGCAGTTCATTTTCAGACTCATGACTTGGGAACTTAAGAACTTTCTCAAAATTATTTGGTTGGTAAGGAGTAGAGCTTAGTCATGCCATTGATAGATCCAAAAAGTTCATGGCCTTGGTAACATCCCACTTTTCCTTATTCACAAGGTTGGCTATTAAGGAGGTTTTGACATCTTCTGTAGGTAGGTGAGTTTTCTTAATATCGTCTTGTATATTATCAATCTCGTTTCGTCTGATGGAGTCAATCTCCACAGTTCTTATGGCTTTTAAGACCTGTGTCTTCTTCATCTTAAGATCATTAGTTAAAGAAATATGGAGGCTCTTTGTATTACTGAGGATTTTTGAATCTCCAGCCTTACTCTCCTTGCTAGATGTTGGTCTTTCTGGATCTGATCCGATCATGGTGTCGGTAAAATTATTAATGATGGATAAAAAATCACTTATATCTTTCAAGGATATCTTTACGATCATGTGTGCAAAAACCCCAGAAACTTTATAAAGCTAGAAGACGAATTTCATTACATTTAGGGAATTTAGGGGGAAATAAACATGCTCTGTTTGTCATTCTTATGCCACAATTTTGAGCAATTAATTATAGTATAAGTATTAAGATATTTTTGCCAGATAAGATTGTGGTTCTGGATATATAATATCAATTTTTTCAATACTTTTAAATCATTAAGGGGTTTTGGGGTTTTGGGGTTTTGGGG